TAACCAGGTCATCCCAAATCATGCTACTTCAGCATGCTGTCCTGGCTCAACCAAATAACCACCTGTCAGGAGGGATCTGGTTTGGAGAAGGTATTCCAGCTCAGAATTAAGAAGCAGAGGTGCAAATGGCACGATTCCCCCATTCCCTGCTTTTCTCCCATGTTTTTGCATTCCTGCACTGCTTTTTCACCCCTCACTCCAGGAGAACACTTTGGAGCTAGCTTGTCCTCTAAGAAGCCAAATCATCATCTGACAGCCCTCTGAATGGATGTGAAAGCCAGACAGGCAGGAAGCCCAGCTGCACTCTGTATTCTTCTCTGCCTTAACCACGAGGTGCTGCTTCTCTTTAGTGTGTTCCCACCTGATAAGAGCTAATGATGCTTCCATCTGTACCCTCCCTCTGCTGGCTGCAGGGAGGTGACAAGTGAAGCCATTTTACGCCCTGCTTGGGACCTTTCCCTCCTCCTTCACTACGCAAGGAGACAGTTAAACTACAGCATCTAATTTTATGGCAGTAACAGGCCAAGCAACAGCTGAGTCCCAAAGACAGGCACGTAGAAGGGGGAACAAATTGCATGAGTCAGACTAAAAGCTTCATAAATATTGACTGGTTTTAACAGTCCCCTGAGGAACAGAGAATCTCATTTTATAACTACATCTCCCTCCCCGTTATGTACTCCCTCCTCTCAGGGAGCTGCACATTATTTTAATTCCTTTCTGCAGTGAAGCTGTGCTGTTCTGTTGGGGACTTTGCATCAGTCCACAGCAGAATAGCCGAGCGCCTTCCAGTGGTGCTTTATATAACAGGACCAGAGCAGGTTTTGTTTTCTGGCTCACTCCAGGGTAGAAATGACACAGGCAGAGGAGAATTCAGAGAACAAATATGTGAAGGACATAGAGGACAGGGTAGTTTTCAGTGCTTTGTACTTCAATTCCTACCAGGTGAAACACAGCTGGAGAGACAGAAGGACAGACAGAATTGGAACACAGAGAAGACACACCAATGCTGTCAGGCCTACAGTGGTTGTGCAGGGAAGAACAGATGCTACAGGACAGCAGGGACTGGACTACCAAGGAGGAAAATTGTTTTGTGGTCAGAGGGAATAGGGTTCTGTGAGCCACTGCTTGGGATGGGGAGCAAAGTGACTCCTGCCTTTCTGAAACTGTGTACAAAACTCACCTCACCCCTGCTGAGAGAGCAGCTCTCCCTCCTCATGCTGAAAGGCTCCTAGCTCCTCCTTGCTTTTCATGGTCTCTTTAGCATCCTGCCTGCCTTCCCCTCTACAGTTTGTCCCCTCCTCTTTCCCGTGCCTGTCATAGCCTTAGAAACACTCTAAGCAAGGAAGCAGTCAGACAAGTCTCCTCCTACATATGGGGCAGGATAAAAAAAAAATCCCATCTCCACCAGCTGAGAGCACATGGTTTCAGCCAAGTACCCTTCTTGGTGCACAGACTGCAGGACAGTTAATACACCCTTCCTCCCAACCTTAAGTAAGGGCTCTTTTCTCCTGGGTCCTGCCACAGCAGGCTGGTTGCCTTGTGACCAAGCAAACAAAGTTTAAGCAGAGACAGAAAGACCACAGCAAATGAATGCTGCTGAGGCTTACCTGAAATACACAGTGCACGTGAAGTTTTCATATGCTCTCAAGAAGTGCTGGAAAAGACAAGAAATCATCCCCCTGTTCAAATGCCAAATGTGCAGCACACAAAGTGTCCTGGAAACATGCCACTCCAAGCAAGGTTCAAGTTCTCCTGCTTTCAGTAGCTCTACGCTGCCTCCTGCATCTTGCAAGCAGCCCAAGAAACCTGCTCAACTCCTATTGTCTGACAATTACTCTGAAATAAGACATATTACTGCTTTGGGGTTAAACTAGGCTATTTGGAGACTCCATCTGTTCTAGAGAGACCAATTAAAGTTAGCAACAAAGCTGAAAGTGACTTTACAGAAATTGGAATTTCATACAGAATACCTGAAGGCTGCTCCAAGTCAGGCTGACCTGCATAGCAGAGAAAAGAACGCACACAGCAGAAGGCTCAGTATACTGAGGAAAATAGTGGGTGAGGGAGCATTCAGATCAACCAAGAGCCTGGATCACTAAGGAAGACTGTGGGGGTGAGGAAGGTTCAAGGTCAAGCTAGAATTCAATCCACCAGTCAGAATCAGGCTCAGTGATGACAACGAGGTTCAAACACAACCCAGTGAGCAACAAACACATCCATACTGACAGAACAGGTCTGAGGTTAAGCTAGAAATTCAGCTTCTAGTTCAACAACCAGATCAATAGGAGCCATAGCCAAGGATATAACTAACCAGCATTCCTCACCCAGGAAAACAGAGTTCCTCAGCCTGTAGGAAGAAAGGGCAGGTGAAGGCCACAGCTCGTGCTAATCAAGCCCACTAAAGTCTATTAATGCCTCATCTCTAGCATACAGAGCTGGTACAGCTGAGCTTATCAGCATCCAATCTGCTTGGGCAAGGTCTTTCCATCCCTATCCTCTTGGCTGGTTGTTTTGGTCAGTTTTCCAAATTGGGTGTATTAAATTACCTGACAATTGCATAGCTTTCTGTAAAGAGAAGCTTCTATATGAAGAGATTCAGGTAAATGGAAGTTAGGGACAGAGCTCCCATCTTTGGGCTGTTGATGTGTTTGAGCTGTAGACACATGCTCAGTGGATGTAGTAGATGTTACTGCTGAGTGAAGTAATTGAGAGAATATGGAGACTGTGTTGTTTTTCTACTGGGAATAAAATATATAAGAACAATTAAATGGAATAATACTTTCAGAACTCAGACAAATGGTCTAAAAGCAAAGATATTAACTAGGTGAGAGTGTTAATTAAACCTAATGCCTCAAGTCAATACTCCCACAACTGCAACAAATGCAAAACGTCACTAGCGTCTGGCAGTGGCTGTCAGGCATCTTTCTACCCACTCATTGAGAGCATCCATCTCTCACCCCTCTTATTGTGTAAATGGAGAATGACAGTCCACTACTTTCCCCACAGCACTCTCTTGGAAGGACTGGCACACTGCATTTGCAAGTTGCTTTGGGATCTGAACAGTTGCAATGACCCAGAACTGAATTTTCTCTACAGTGAAAGAGAAAATCCCAGAGCTCTTCCAACTCCAACTTCCTGAAAGATCCTGTCAATAAACAGTGATGTAGGAAAGTAGGAAAAAAAACAGCCAGAGATATGTGGATTCTGCAAAGGCTTAGGTGTGATGGAGAAATCCATCAGTACATCAAGGCAAAATCAATGTCACAGCCAGTCTCAACACAGACTGGTAGAAATGTGGACACCATTTAGTATCAAGCAAAATGACACTTAACTTTCCTTAAGAATATGGTTTTGAGTCAGAACTACCACAGCCCACCTTGCACTCCCATGCAAGATGGACCTCACCAGGTTATGGCCTCTGCTTCTTGGGGGCTGCCCACCGCCAACCAGTTTGCCATGGATAGCTTAGGGAGAGCGGTGTCTGGAAATGTGCTCCCTGTAGGAGGTGGGCATCCTTCGGTGCAAAGAGAACTTTATGAAGAAAGAAGAGTAGTACTTCAAGATACAGTGTTGGTTCACAAGACTGAGAGGAAAGACAGGATGGTTTTACTTGTCTCTGTAGAAGAAAAAAAAAAATGGGGCCATTTCCTCAGTAGAAAAGCATTTTTTAATGGAAGGATCACATTCAGCTTCATAGGCAAAAAATCTAAGCTTCGACTCCCCATTTTTTAGTAAAAAATAAACATTAAAAGGAATATTAAAGGGCAAGTCATCCTATAACCATCTAAGCTGCACAACAAGTTTAAAGGAAAGTTAGGGATCAGAAGCCAAAAGCCCAAACAAGGAAAAGACATTATTTTTTACTTAAGATGAAGTGTAGGTACCATCAGATGAAGCTGTATTGGGTGATCTGGCATGATGTGGTGTCCAAAAAGCACAAGAGATGAGTCACTGGGAGTGCATGTACAAGTCAGAGCTTGGTCAAAGTATAGTACAAATGATTCAGTGCTGCAGATGATGATTGGCAGAAGTAGCAGAAGTGCAGAAGAAAGGCTAGCGCTGTTACTGTGATAGCATTTTTCTTGACAAGGTTGTAATAGAAAACTTGTAGCAGGTCCCTGCTCAATTGTGATGGACAAGCAGCAAAGAGAAGCCAAGCCAAGACATGGTGATGTCCTGAGAAAACATGGGATATGTGCAGTGTGCCTCATGACTCTGCTCTAAACTAATAAAACATAGCTGTGTGGACAGAACTGGCATCTGGCCTTCCACTTCTTTTCCCCAGAAAAAAGAAGACAGTTGCCCATCCTTGATGTATTCCATGTCTGCTGCCAAATTTGCACTCCCCCACTCAGACACAATCCCAAAATAGGATGTGATGCCTTTCCCGTTGACAAAGCCATAAGTCACTGTGAGCGAGACACACTCAATATCTTCCAATCACTTAAATGGAAAGAGCTCTCCCCCTCTGTTTCCCAGCATTTCAGCACTCATTATACCTCACATTAATTAATATAGGCAGTAAAAAGTGTGATGATAAATTACAAAAACCCATTAACCTGATTCTGTCCAAACTGGTGACATATGGCAACTTGTATGTTAGACAGATCTTCCCTGCTAATGTGGAAGTCCTCATGCCTGAACTCCATTAAAGCTACAGCCATGAAAGAATATTCTTAATGTATGCACGTATGGATGTACATACGGAATGTATATCAATGTGCATGGACAGGGCATGCCTGTGGGAACATCAAAATTCATTAGATCAATCTGATATGAGATATATTGAACAGGTTCCATCTGACGTCTGTTACTGGGTTGTTCTGTCCACTCCCAAAGGAGTGAATCATATTGACAGGTTGAATTATATCTCAAGAGATATTTTTCTCCCCTCCTCCAAAGGCCATTTGCAATCGCGGCACATCCACTGCCTCTTAAAAGTGAGCTCATCTGGCACTGGGTTGCATTGAAGTCCTCCACCGTGCTTGAAGAAAGAATGCTTTTGGGTGGTGGGTACGTGGAGAAGATGCGGTCCATCCAGCTGTCCCTCGGAATGCTAGCCATCTTGACCATGACTGTGTATGTCCCATCTACACATGGAGTGCCTTTTTTCCTACTAGGTAAGCTGGAATACAGGCTAGATGACACAGGTAGGTCGTTATCTTTTTGCTTTGCTTTGCTGCTTGTCATGGCCATGCCACACTTGCTTATCCGTGCAAGAAAATTAAAGCAACCATGAGCTATACTAAATAATCAGTCAACATGGCTAGTACCCAGGGACTTGATCATATCAGCACATACTTCTGGTCTGCGGCTGGTCGCATATTCATATATCACACTGCTAAACAATGAAAATAGCAGATCTGGTGAAATCTGGTAGTGGTATTTTCTTCTTTCTTCCTGAGAGAAAATTTCCAAGGATATTATATTAAAATACCAGAGAGTAGCAATCCAAATATGTACCATATGAGATGTGACAGCTCCTAAATGTCAGGAGTAGGGTGCTGCTGAACTTTTTTTAATCACAAAACTTCTGTTTATATGTTCTTCTCCCATAATTTAAATTAATCTTAGCTTGAACTTATTCCACAGGAAAATGTCAATCATTAATCTTCTTTCTTAGGGAGACTTGGCAGCAGGAAAAAAATTAAAGCGGCTAAATATAGGCTAGGAAACAACATTGCTTTTCAAATGATTTTTCCTCTTATATCACCTATTTATTTTTGTAATGACAACCAAAACATTCCTGAGGCCACCTTCTCTAAATCCAGCTTCTGTTTAGTTTTTACTATAGTGTTTATATACATACATGGTTGTTTTTTTTTCTGTATCCAATCCCTCAGATGACTAAAAGTGGCTCTTTGAAAACTGTAACTGTCTTTCAGGCTTAGGTTTATAGCACACAAACTGCAGGTCTTGCAGAGTGCATAGCCCTGCTCAGCTCCTCGGGTTTGTTTCCTGAAATCACACTCGGCTTCAGCTGCACCATTAGGTGGGGGCAAACCTAGCCACACATATACTGGAAGCATCACCTTGGGGTGCATTCTCACACACTCTCGAGCATCTCAGGGACTCATCTGTCACATTGCTTTGTTTTGTCTGTATCAAAATTATTTGCATTCATCTCATCACAGCTATGCAGGTCTGATGGCTGTCCGAGACCCATTGCTCCCTTCTAATCTCCTTGAAGGGGTTGAGGTGAAGTCCTGAAGATCCCAGGAGAAGAGAAAAAATGTCTTTCTGCATCATTTCTTTGCATTTTATGTGGATTTTGTGGGCATATTCTAGGGTTTGGCAAGGTCTGGGTGTGGGAGTTACACAAAAGATTTTGGGGAATGGTCACTCTGCGATTTTATGCTCCTCCCAAAAATGAATGCACCACACAAGTTCCAGATGCCCCTCGAAATCTGTTTGGCAGAGCTAGAGGCATCCCAGAGCCTTGTCCAGTCTGCTCATCCGATCCTTGTGTCCATCAGATGCTGCTGAAGCCCTGACCTTCACAACCACTCATTTGAGGGTACAGCCACAACCACTAGAGAAAAACCACTGAGAAAGCTCCCAAAATGGGCCTCATACAGAAGCCCAAATTGCTACAGGAAAGCAGTTTGGGGAGGATTTTTCCTGGAAAACAGGGAAGGAAATTAGGCATGGCTGACAGCAACCGTTAAGAGGATTCCTTGGAGCAAAAGAGGCTCGCTTTAAACTCCTCCACACTTTGCCTACAAGCAAAATGAATCGTTTAATACCACAGGCAGCCAGAGAGCCCAGCCCCAGCGCTGGGTGAGCACAGGGCTAGATGGAATGCTGCACGGCTCTTCAGCTACATGCACACAAAAGGAATATCTCCCACTTCCACCAGTCCTGGGGAGATGGATGGGATGATGGGGCAATAAGGGGAGTGCTTGCAGAAGAGGTCTTAGCCTTAATTTTTTGTCTTAATGTTGGGGGATGGAGGGTCCATCCGTTTTGGCACTAGAGACTGAGAATGGCATGTTTCATATGCTGCAGATAACCGAGTGCTTCCGGAGAGAGAAGATACAAATCACAAGGACACACTGCTTCCTCTGCTTAATAAGAAGTTTGCATGGAGGACACCAGGAAATTTTGGTAAGCAAATGGGATGGGAGATCAAGCTTCATTCCTGTATGAATGCTTTGGAGGTAAGGAATCAACTCAGATTTTTTGCAGAGAGGAGGTCAAGATTTTTCTCCGTGTTACATGTACAGACACCAAATTTAAGCCCATCCTGTGTGTTGGGACAGGCTCCAAACTCAGGCTCTCTAAAGAGAAACTTGGGCATTCCACGACACTGCACACAGCAATTGCAAACGCCAAATGGATTAACGAGGTCAGAACTTCCCACGGCCACTGCAGTGTGGGAAGGGGCTGGGCCATGGGTGGTGGTCTCAGGGCAGGAAGCTCATTTTCCCTGCAAAAACAACAGAGAATGAAGCTCAGAAAATTTTTTACCATGGAAATCCATTAATCAAAATCACTCAGTGCTCCTCCCCAGCCCCTTGTTAATGCAGTGAGGCAGTAGTTAAACAATCCAGGGACAAATAGATAAATACAAATAAATCAAGTCCTTACACTAACAAAGGCATTCTTCTTGCAAAGGGGACGCATTCAAAAAATAACATTTTTATGATTGCTTTATGGATTATTGCACTTATTACTCCTGGAGGAAAGGCTGCATTTTATGCCAGACAATTGAATATAACGAATCTCTGAGCAGAGCACAGACAGAGGATTTACAGCAGGCAGTTTCTCAAAGCATCCTCCATAAATTAACTTCCTTCCCTCTGCTTGAGATAATCCGTTCCAAATTTCGACCGCTGCTCATTTTCTATTCATAGCAGCCATTGGCCAAGCTTACTCTTTGTGGGAAGTTGAGCCAAAATCAGCACTTGAAATTCTGAAAGAGGCAAAAATGTGTAGAATAATAATAATAAAATCAATTATAACGATAAGCTCTTAAGGGGCACCTTTTACTTATGGATGCATAAAGACACATTTAAGAGGAATCTGCCTGTGGATGTTGCTGGCAAAGCAAGGGAAGGAGCTGAGCCCCCCTACCTGCCCATAGCCCCAACACTCTGGTGTGATGGGTTTACTTAAGAACTGCTGATTTTTCTGTTTTATATCTATCAGAAAATATTCAGTAGTTTTCAACTAAACTGTTTCTTTCTTGGAGGAGAAACTGAGAACGGAGGCAGTTCTTTTTTTGGCACCTTTCTCCTTACTTTCAAATGTTAAAAAAAAGCCTGAGTCTGGCAATGTGTGCTGAAGCCTTATGTGAGGTCAGGGAAATGAGCTTCTAAATCCCCCAGGAGATGCAGACCAACACCCACTGCCCCGTCAGGAGCAGACAGCACGGACAGCCCAGGGCTGGTGTTCGGCTCTTGGGCTGAACAGAGACATTCTTGAGCAATTTCCTGTCTCTTCTGCTTATTTTAGTGCATATTTTCACAAACTGGCACTGCGAAGCAGCTGATGGCTTTGTGTTCTCCTTTCAAAACTGCTCCAGCTATCTTATTCGAAATCATTAACTGCTTTTAAGCTCAGCTTGGCCCTGGAATAGCGTCCCTCACCCTTCAAGAGGAGTGAGATGGGAAACCCACAATCTCTCCTGCAGCTTTCCTATTGCTAACCCAGTTCAGCTGGAGCCTCAGATTCTGTCCACAGAACCTGACTCTCTCCCTGACATCTCATGGCATCTCACTTTGCCCATCTGTGTGCACAGGCTTTAGACAGCCTGGTGCAGTGCTCAGCCTGATGATCCATGAAGACGGTGCCTGGCATCCAGATGCTGAGCAGAGAAGGGCACAGCAGAGGCTGGGCAGGAATTAAAGGGTAAATGCGTCTTTCCTTGTCAACCTATAGACAGGAGATATAGAATCAATAAGGCTGGAAAAGACTGCTAAGATAATCTAGTCCAACCATCAACTCATCACCACCATATATGAAGAAACTGCATCAGATCTGAGCTTCAGGAATTACCAATGTGACTCTCTTCCTTTGCAGACTGGGAGCTGGCAAAGAAATTTGACGACTTTGAACAGGTGAGAGAAGCAAATGCACAGACACATACACGTCTACTGTTGCATAAATAATACCCTAGCTAAGTTGGAAAAAAAGAAAACAAGAAAAACCAGATGCTAAAAGAAATCTCCATGGAAGACGGAAGGAGAAGGGCAGGTCTTGGTGTCTGCCTGTGCATTGCATCAGCTTCCTCTATCCATGCTGGGCTCCAGCACCCACGGCCCCTGCATGCCTTCCCCCGACTGGCACTTCTCTGTGTTCCCTGCCAGCGAGGCAGATGCAGCCCATGCCCTGAGCCTCCCCAGTTTGCTAGAAAAGAGAAGCTGCAGGTGGAGGCAAAACACTTTGGGCTTTCACGTAGTAAGCAAGTCAGCAAAAGCTGTGGATAGGAGGACACAAGGAGGTGCTCCAAGAGCAGATCCTCCTGAAACAGTCCTGCTCCTGTGGGTGCTGCCTGCAGGGCTGCCTACAGCCTGCCTCTACCACGTTGTGTTGATGTGTTGAGTGCCGTCCTCCTGACAGAGCAGTTGCTCACTGCTGCGTTTGTTTCTCAACAGCTGTTGAAGTTTAAGGATCAGCTCTCAGCTGAGGAAGGGTCAGAGATGGCCGATGCCTTGGAAAGTCTCTCAGCATCCCAGCCCAAAAAACGTGGTAAGTGTTGGGTTAGAGGCCTGCCTATGGCTCTGGCTGGCAGCAATCATCCCATCCAGCTCCCTGTTCCAGCATTTCCTATCTGTAGCAGAACAGTGACAATAAGCACGCCCCCAGCACGCTCTGAATAGAGTGTATTGGCACTCAGGACCTCACCAGAGGCAGTTAGAGCAGCAGCCTGAGAATAACTATGGAGCTATTCAGAGGGCAGTTTAGTAGGAACATATCCCCACAGGGCACCCCTCACTCTCCTGCAGGGCACAAAGCTTGTGCTGGAGGCATAATGAGGCATGTGGCCTGCATGCGTCCACATCCACCAAGGTCACTGCTTCCCTGCAGAGAAAAAAGCAGCAATTGTTTGAGCTGCTGAAAAGAAGCAAAGAAAAGGATGTGGAAATCAAGCAGGAATGCAGGGAGCTAAGAGCTACTGTGTCCCCAGTCAGCCCCTCTGTTCTCTGCAGCACATCCCGGGAGCTTTGCACTCCTGCAGGGCTGCCCAAGAGCACAAGGACATGCTGCTCATGTTGGCAGCAGAGGACTCCTTCACAAAGCAGGGACAGTGTAGAACAGTAGTCACTAGTTGCAAATCTGGCCTCACCCCAAAAGAGCTCCTTCTGCCCTTACCCCACAAGCTCTGTGCTCATGCAGGCTGACAATCTGCCAGACAGGCAAGGGAACATCCCCCTCCGTGCAAGGCTGGCTTATGTGCTTAGGTGATGCTTAGACAATCTGTAATCTGTAAGCAACCTTGGAGACTGTCATTAATTTGGCTTATCTCATTCATGCTCCCACCAGTCTGGGAGAATCAACTGTACATAAAACTGCTTCTCCCAGCCAGGTTTAAATCAGATTCTGCCAGAAAACAGAGCAGAGAGCCTTTGTCTTGTCTATCCATTCTGGGAGGAGCCTGTGTCTCAGCCTGAGCACTGCTGATTTAGTAGAAGTTTTCTCCTACAAAAAAACAAGTTGAAATTCTTTCTCACACTTGACACCTGTACAGAGTTCAAAGAACCAGGCAGGCTGGTGATACACTTACTTTTTTCCAACACCAAAATCCACATAATTCCCTGATTTTTCTTCTTGTAAGATCCCACAGTGGTAAGTGTTGTTTGGAAGACAGCTGGAAGCAGAATGCTATAGTGATTGAGCTTTTAAAAGTAATTGTAGGGTCCAGATCAGGTGTTTCCAGGTCAGTATCCTGCTTTTCCCATCAGCCATGGGTGAGAAGCCCTGTCCACAACTCAGGGGCTGCAGAACTGATATGTAGTACCAGTACACAAGAAAGAAAAAGCTGATTCCTGACATTAGTGAAAGAGAGCAAAAGGAACAGCAAACCATTATAAATCATGACCCCTTCTTTACACTTTAAGAAACTGAAAGGATCACCTTCTAGAAGTGTTATACAAACTCTTAACACTCCAACTCTCTCAGGATACTGGGCTTTTGAAACCAACTCCAGGAAGCGATGGGAAGTTGGAAAAAAAAGTCTCTTGGATGCTAAAACTCTTCTCTTGTATTCCTCTCCAGCCTGCTTTTGGAAATACTGCATCTGAAGGCTTGCTAGGACTTGAAGAAGAAGATGGGTCCTTCCCCAAACTGCGTGCTGGGTGTTAATGTGTTAAGAGTTTGTTCTGTTCTCTCATCTCGTTGCTAACTTAGATGCCACCCTCTGTGACTACACCACAGCCAAGTCTAAGAGGCACCACAATAGGTGCAGGAAGCTCCCTGCCACCTCTGCTGCTCCTTCCTTCCAGGCTTCACCTTCCAAGGTCTTCTGCTTGGAAGATGTTCCCCAACTTCACTTGCTGTACCATTCAGATTGCTGCCACCATACATTCTTGCCCTTCTCACCAGGTCTCCAAAGGCACCAAACACCAACCCAGCCCCCTGAGCTCAGCCCTCTGCCCACTTGCAGACGTTGCTCACAGTGGGGCCTGGGTTTTCTGTCGTGTCCCATGAGCAGGTCTCAGAAGCCCCAGCACCCTCTGATAGGAAAGGAAGGCAGTTTGGGTGCAATGGGAGGGCTCAGGGCTGCCTGCCTTGGCTTGCTGAGCCAGAGCTGTTGTTCCTTGTCATGTCCCACCAACATATGCAGTAGGTTTGGGGGAGGACGGGCACAGAAGTCTGGATCTTTTGGATGTCACTCCAATAAAGATTTTCTGTTGCACAGAAGCACACGCTGTTTTCTTTCTCATTCCCTTCAGTGGCCTAAAGGGGGAGTACACTTCCATGGATGTGGGCTCTGGTTACATAATGGATCATAAAGCTCCCATTAAACACCTTGTTAGAGCAAGGCAGGTTTGTTTTAATATGCCTCAGGAGCATGTCCTTTCTTTAGCCACAACATGGGCATGTGTGAGGACTGCTGTACTCATGGGACTGGACCATCCCTACTCACTTCTACCTACTTTACCCCAAAAAGATCGAGACGGTTTTTCCTACTGCAGAATTGACTGAATCATAAGGTTTGAAACAGACCATTAAGAACATCTGATCTGATCCAACTGTCAAACTGTCAGTTCTCTGCACCTGTCCTATAGGAAGTGATCACAATCCACCAATCACAATCACATTATCTAAGTTCACTTGCAAAGCAGAAGGATCATGTTCCCACAGGTCTAAGTTCAGAATAAATCTTGAAGCCATTGATGTTTGCTTTGAGATTTCCAGCAGTATAGATGACAGCAGAATTCAGTAGGCACTGTGAAAGCATGGACTGATTTTCACTAGAATTGAACTGACTCTCCAGTCCTATGTAGTCATGTCATTTAACTGCAGCTTGCATGCTACGTATTATCCAGAACTTTACTTTTCCCAAAGTACCAATTACCACGTTACACTAAAAAAAAAAAAAAAAAGCAGTGATTCAGAAGAAATTTCCCCTTCTGTGTTGCATTTGCGAACCTGAAAAAGCTAAGTGGAAACACACCTTCACATACCCTCACAACAGCAACAAATGCAGGAAAAAGTATGGCCTACTGCTAAGAGAAGGGCATGTCTTCCCTTTAAGCTCACAGTACCCAGACTACTTGAATGTTCCCTACATGCTGCTATGTTGGCTGCTTCTGCTGGAGTGCTGAACATCAATGCTGAAAGCAATTCATTTGCAAGTTCAGAGAGTATGTAGGGACGTCTTCACTAGACTCACCATTAGCAAGGACTCCTGTCTTTCCTTGTAAATGCAGAACAGAACTTCTCCTCAAGTGCCACCTCTACATTATGGCTGTTTGCACCTCACCCATGCTTTGGCAGTCAAACTTACTGAAGTTAATGACCCAGAGACAATAATTAAAGGATTTTCTTCAGGCATTCTACTTGAGCATGTTGAATTGTTAACAGAAAATCCTCACAGGCATCACAATGGATTTGCAAGCAGGCAATACGGGGCTGCAGTATATTCTCTTGTTGACCTCCATACTACACATGATAACTGAATCTATCTAGTATTATTTGAAAACAAATCATGGTACCCAACCCTTCAGACATCACCATACTCTAAACAGCACCTGTCAACTTATGGATGTTAAAGGAGACTGCAGTGTGTTTGGATGGGCAGATGAACAGGAAGGCCATTGCTTTCTCCCCATGCAGTGATTTGAAGCTTCCAGGTCCCAGTTTCAGGCAGCACCACCAGAGATCTCTGTCCAGACTTGCTTTCATGTTTTCCTTCAGATGGAGAGCATTTCTGCATCCAAGTACAAGCTTTAAAAACCCTCTTTATTTAAAGCCCACACTAATACCAGCTGACTGCTGAAATACTTTAATTATCTAACAGTTTCTTTGCAGATCAGATGTGTCACCATTGGATCCCTCTGATGCAAGCCTTCCAAAATATGCCCTATAATAAGTCTGTCCATGCTGCTTTTGAAAGACAACTATATGAGAGGTCAGGAGTACATGACCTACATAATCTGCCCATAGCCCATACATATGGCTGCTTGGCAATCAGATTATCTGCAGACTGCCTGGGTGAGCTCAGTGCAATAAGATAACTGTTTACTGAACTACAGGGCAGGCTCAGGATAGGTGGCTTCAGTAGACTCCAGAGGACAGGGAGCTGAGCTTGCGCTGGAGTCCATTTGTGGATTTGCTTCTAGCATAGACAGAAAATCCTCATCTCAGATCAACACTCAGTCCCAAATCCTTCATCTGCAAACTTAAAGGTAAAGTGAACAGTGGGACTCAGGGATATGCACTGGATTCTGCCTGCCCTTCTGAATGGGAACCTCATTGCCCACTACAGCCTGAGCAGGGGCAATTGCCCAAGTTCCAATCCTTAGAACACCTTTAATCTCAAGGACTCATTCAGTTAGCTGATAGACAGGTGCCTCACATTAGATCAGGAAATTAACACTTATTTCTCTCTCTTGCCTTATTGCAACTCTCTGCCTAACACAGGGTAAGCACGTGGTAAGATAGAGAAGCAAACTGTATTCCTAAATAATCCTTTTTCTGTGGATCATCTTTTGCAATTCTAAGGATTATTTATACCCAGGAATAGCAATCCAAGGCATTTAGCTGATGTAGACTATAGTCTAACAAGGAGGTTTAGAAGAGATCAGTTTGGAATCTGAGCACTGAAATGTCAGCCAACAGCTCTTTTCAGCTGTATTTCATGATCTGGAAAGAAGCGAAAAGCAATGAAGCAGAATTCAAGATAACCTGTTTTACTCTGAATTGAAATAGAGAGAACAGGCACATGTTTACATGTTATCAGACTAAGAAATGCTTGAACTTTTACAGTTGCATATGCGATTATGCCCTATGCACACATCAAGAGACTAAAATAAGGCATACAATGCAGATGGCCTAGGAAGTAGATGACTTCATATTTGGACACTATCCTATGTTATGCATAGGGAGGACTGAAATGCATTTGTTAGCTTACAGGAGGAAGCTGACAGTCTCGCCACATGTCAGGATATGCTGTACAATGAAAACATTTCTAAATTTGGTGCAAGGAAGACTGTTAAAAGCATCAGAGCAAATCCTAAGATTTTTTTCTTTCTTCTTATTCAGATCAACTCCTAATGATATCAGTAAATGTCTTCTCCCAAACAGCAGTTCAAATACAATATGGATTTGTTCCATAGCTATTAAATCCTCCCTTCATCTAACAGAAAAACACCTTCTTGAAATACATGCACAAAGCAAACTGCCTGCATTTCATGGACTGCTGTTGGCTTTTCAGAGAGTTTTATTTTAAATCCAAAAATTCGAACAGTCTTTGCTAGGAGAAGGGATTTCTGCAGGTTTAAGACATAAATGCCATACGATTAAACCATGCATTTTTTTCTGTCTCCTCCTATCAGTGGCACTGTGCTCAGCTGTGAGAGCATTCTGATCTCATGAACTGAATTAGTTACTATTTGTAAATGCAATGTTTGTAAAACACAACGTGAAGAAGGTTTTGCAGGAGGTCAATTCCTTGAGTGCTGAATCATTAGTCAATGACAAGATGTGCTCTGATGCATCTTCCACATTTCTGTGATGTTTCCTGTATGGCATCAATCACTCAGAACAGAAGAACCTATAGGCAGAAAAGCAGTAAACATTATGCCTTCTCAAATCAGAACCGCAAGGATTAGACAAAGACAACATAAGGAGAAGAAAAAGCTAATAAATACTTCTTGAACGGGAGCTGTACTGATTTAGAGGATTCAAACTAAACTGTGTCACTATCCATGTTATAGAAGAAGCCCTCCTTTCTCAAGGCTCCCTTTCCGAACCTACTGGCATGACCTGAGCATTTCCATGTGATTAAGAGCAGGGGGGGCTCTCCAACCTGCCCACACCCGGACACTTTGGCTTACTTGCAGGAACTGCTAACCCTTGGTGTTGCCAAGACGACTCACTCCGATCCGATCAAGAGGAACTCCAAACCGTCTCTTAGGCAGCTCAACTACTTTCCTGCAAGGGGAAAATGGGAAAGAAGGAGGGAAAGAATTATGGAAAGACATCATAGGAATAACCAAAAGCGTTACTACATCTTTGATTCCTCCATTCATCCCACTCACAATTTTACCATTCAGACAGAACAGCTGTGCAGCAGCAGCTGAAGATGTGAGAGCTTGAAAACAAAATACTTTACTTCTCTTAAAAATTAATGGATAAGAGTGGCACCTGCTTTACAGACTAGCACTGAAGCACTACCCCGTTTTAATCCTGCAGAACCCTTTCCCCAAAATCCTATCTATCAAACACTTTTACACAGTTCATCAGCCCACAGGCAATACTCTTTCCAACACAGATTAGGCATAAGGTGATGCAACTGGGACCAAGGCTGCTGAAGTCATACTGAGCCTGATCTGATAAAAAGAGGCATCAAACCATTTGAGTTAGAAGAGACCCCTTAAAAGACATCTGGTTCAACTCCCTCCACTGAACAGTGACACCCACAGCTCCATCCCCAGCTCAGAACCCCACCCAACCTGACCTTGAGTGTCTCCAGGGATGGGGTACCATCACCTCTCCGGGCAACGTGTGCCAGTGTCTCACCACCCTCAGTGTAAAACAAACCAACCCCTTTTTCCTTACATCCAATCTAAATCTC